ACCAAATTTATGGCTCATTGGAAATTTTAATTCCAGCCAGCTGGGACCACACCCAGGCACTCCAGAGACCTAGGCCTACTCTGAGTGTCCAGAGGACCTGGCTTTTACATTAAGAAGGTACAGAGGTGACTTTGAAGAAGGAAACAGTCTAACAGAAGATAAGCAGAGAGATGGAGGGGATTGCAGTACAAACAGGTTAAGATAAATAAGATAGGACATCCTCACCTTGGCTTCCTAGAATAGTGCTGGGTCATTTTTCCATGGGGTTTTCCATCAAGGAGGTCAAATTCTAGTTAATCCTGAAATGGCCTCAGCAAGAATACACAATAGAGGGATCTTAGCACTGTCTTGGCTTGCACTATATGTGTGAGCTGCCTTGCAGGTATTGGGAATTGAACCCAGGGTCTCTAGAAGAACAACCAGGGCTCTAATGAATGCATTATGACTTCAGGCCTGATGTAAATGAACATTTCCTTTTACATGGACCTCAAGAACAGTACTTGGAACAGAGTGGGAAAACAGACCACTAATCTTACCTACTGTGGCAACTGAGGATGGTAGACACTTTGCAGGTTTTTACGGATACAGGATTCACCCTAAAAGGATGAAGTCCATTCTCTCCAGGTTACCCACTCCCCAGAAGAGTAGGATTTAGGGCAGCAGGGATTGAGTTTGGAAGAATAATGGTAAGGCACACTTCACGTGCTGCCTTGATGGAATTATGACTTTGAGAGCAACAGATAGAAAGTCAAATGGAAAACCCAGTTTCTACTATCTGGGCAGTGACTCTGACCCCGAGGTGATGTTTATAATTGGAGGAACAGAGGCCTTCCTAAGCTTTGGTCCGAAAAGATCTCTTTCTGGATGCTTCCACAGGATCCCCTTACCTGAACCTGTCAGGATGAACTTTCAGGCTGTGCCCACACTGCAGCAGCTGGCCATTGAAACACTGCTGAGAGATGAAGACTTGGCCATCTCTGCTCTTGGAGGGCCTTCACACAAGGTTCTTCCTACCACTGTTGAAGGAGGCTTTCATTAAGAGACTAACAAAGATAGTAAAGGCCATAGTAGTATCTTGGTCCTTCCTCTGCCTTCCTCTTGGGGCCCTGGCAGATTGTTTTGAAGTAATCACTTCCAGGCTGTGCTGGATGGAATGGATTTGCTGAATATCCAGAATGTTTGGCCTAGGTGTGTGAATCTGGGTTAGGATGCAAGGCAAAGGCTGTGGTGAAATTCAAAGAATTTGAAATTGCAATATGGGATCACAGGTTACAACTGTCACCTGAACCCCCCCTTTCTGTTTGACCCACAGGAGGAGTAGACTACAAGAGCTCAGTTGTCAGGGTACTCATTGTGACTTCTGGGAAATGTGGTCTGGAACACAGGATGGTGTGGTCTCTCCACAGGCCAAACCAGGGGAGAAAGATCCCACAACAGGGGGAAAGAAGCAGCCATTGAAGGTGGTCACTGAATGTAGCCTCAAGAACAGCTTTATCAGTGAATGCAATGATTCCTTCATGAGGTGGTTAAGGAAAAGAAGAGATATGCAGGACAGCTCCCTGTCCTTATCAGGGTAGTATTGTAGGTATGAAGGTGTCCTTAAAGGTCAGAGTTGGATCGCTTAGGATCTCCTGGGGTCTGAAGTCATATACAGGTGGTTATAAGTCATCAGACATGGGTGCTGGGATTCGGGTCCTCTGAAACTGCAATCTGTGCTCTTAACTCGCTAGGCATTTCTTCAGTCCCCAAATAATGATGGTCTCATTATGTGTCATCAGCTGGCTTGGAACTCACTATGTTGGAACTGCTGGCCCTGAACACATAAATTGGCTGGTTCTTACCTCTGGATCATTGAAATTAAAGGGGTGTATAGTCATGCTTTAAAATTACTTGTTTGTTTTTCTTTGTGATATTTTTGTTTATTTGCCGAGGCTAGACTCAAAGAAGTGACAATACTGTTTTTTACCTCCTGTTGCAAGCCACTACCCTAGCTCAGAAACTTTTCTTTAAATAAGGTATTTTTAAATGTAGCTCCTTCATGGCCTGGAACTCTTTATGTAGACCAGGCTAGCCTCAGACTCACAGAGATCCTCTTGGCTCAGCTCTCGGTCATAGTTTCATTTCTCTAGTCAACTTGCTGGCTGGTCTTCTCTGAAACCATCTTCTGACAGAGAAGTAGGCCTGTCTCCCTCCGATATACAGTTTTTAAAATGCCTTGAGAACCAGAGTTGTATAGCCCAGCTGGCCTCCAACTTGCTATATAGCCAAAGATGACCTTGAACTCCTGATCCTCAGGCTCCAAACTCTTGAGTTCTGGGACGGCATTCATGTCCCACCATGTCTAGTTTATGCAGTGATGAAGAGAGTAAGTGCTCAGGGTTTGTGATTCTAGGCAAACATGCATTCTCGATTCTGCTACATCTCCAGAACCCCTGCATAATATCAATGGAGGCAAACCATTCTCCTGCCTCAACTTTTGGAGTAGCTAACACAGCAGGTAATAAACAGAGTTTCAAACCCGGCTGCTTATTGCAGAAAAGGTTTCATAATTGTGACAAGATATTTGTCATATGGTCCTCTGAAGACTTATTTAGGAGACTCTGTGTGTATGTCTTGTCTTGAACAGAGTAACCCAAGGCTAACTCATGATCAGAACTATATTGGTTACATATGATTAAAACTTCCAGATGCACTGGCTCACGTAATAATGCCAGCAGGAGGATTGCTGAGAGCTGGAGTATCAAATCAATCTTAGTTACAAGGTGATATATTGTTTATGATTTAATAAAGCCACTAGGGATCCAAATACAAAGCCAGTCAGGACTACAAAGAAGGCAAGGAATTTTAAGCTGCTAGGAAACCTGCCTGAGATACAAAACAATCCTTTAAAGTCATACTTGCTTCATTTTCTTTAAACTCCTGCCCAGGCTGGCCTGGTAGTTTTGTGTAGTTAATGATGACCTTGAACACCTGATCCTTCCATTCCACCTCACATGCTGGAACACAGGCCTTTGCACTGTGCCCGGTGTGGTGGTGGTGGTGTTGATGCTGGTATTAATGTGTTGAGGACATGGAAGCCAGAGTCTTCAGCACACTAGATGAGCTTTTCCCATGTGAGCTGCATCACTCAGCCATCTTCTCTCTTTGGTTTTCAGAGACAGTTTAAGTCTGTAAATCAGACTGACCTGCAGCTAACTATAAAACCCAGGCTGGTTTTGAACTCATTGTAACCCCCACCCTGAGACAGCTTGTTGTGTGTGCTCACCAGAAAAGGCTATGATCTTGCACATGGGTTTAAACCAATAAAAAGTCTATATTAGCTGGCCAGACACTACAGGGGATGTTCAAGACCCCAGTACAGTGCTGAGCCTTTCGCTAGATGAGCATTTATGCACACAAAATATGCTCTGGGTCGACATACTTCAGTTAACACAAACAGTTACTTAGAAGCAGAACTACAGAAGCCAACATGCAAGGCAATGCTGGGCAGTAGTTTAATCCCAGCACTCAGGAGGCACAGGCTAGTAGATCTCTGAGTTCCAGATCAGCCTGGTCTACAGAGTCAAGTTCCAGGACAGCCAAGTCTAAGAAACCCTGTCTCAAAAAACAAACAAGACTATTACATTTAGTGACTTTCACATAATTATAGATTTTGATAGATTAAGCCTTTGTTTCAGTTTTGGCAGGTGGTGCTGTCTATGTGCTGAGTTTTACAGCCAGAATGGTACTTTCACCATGGAGTCAGTTGTGCTAAAGTCTAGGGCCCTGGTACAGCTTTCCAAATAATATGATGGTTAGGTGTGACTCTCAAAGCATAGCTATATTTTTGCTGTCCTGGTTCACACTGCATCTTGGGAGACTGACTTTGCTGGTCTCCTCATGGAGGACAGGGACTTGGAAGAAAAATTGCATGAACATGCCATTTCTGACTGGAACTGGAAATGAAGGAAGGGAGACAGCAGAGGCCCTCACCACCACTGGCTCACTCTCCAGTTTATACAGAGTGCTCTGAGCCAGCTACATGTTCCCAATGGTATCTGGCCCTTCTGCTGGATCCTGCTGCCTGGTCCTTCTCTTTCCTTCTAGTTCCTGCAGTGGCCAATAAGCTCAATTTGTTACACAAACTTCTTGGTCTGCTGAGAGTCTGTGGAGGTCTCTCAGTGGTGGAACAACTTGCAGAACTCAGTTATAGCACCAGCTTCTCTTCCTGGCACACACAGTGACAAACCAATTAAAACAATTTTCAAGGCACTTTTAAACAAACTATCTTCCTAAATAGGATCCCCTCCATTCAGGACTGACTTCTAACTGGGATGACCTTGAATTCCTGATCCTTCTGCCTCCACCGCCCAGTCTGCTGGAATAATGGGGAGGTGGGGTGTGAACTCCACCTGAACTCAAGGATGTAATATCTCCATGACTGGAACCGAGGGATGGAAAACTGTGACTCTAATGTTTAATGCCAGGGAAGGGCAGGCATTGAGATTCATACCTTCAGTTCCTACAGTTGGGAGACACAGGTGTGAGGAACAGGAGTACAAGGCATGGTAGCTATATAGACAGTTGTTCCCTGACTGAAATGCTTGAGGACCTGTCTGGGGCAATGACATATAACCTTGAAGGAGCAGCCAAGGGACTTTGGAGTCTTGGCGGTGTGTGTGTGTGTGTGTGTGTGTGTGTGTGTGTGTGTGTGGTTTGTCATCTGTGGTCTTGGGAGCACTATTAAGCTTGTCTATTGTTAATCCCACTGAGCAAGAATAATACCACTACCATGCTACCATGAAGGGAGAGGCAGGATGATCTCTGAGTTTGAGGAAGCATGAGCTCCATAAAGAGTACAAGCCATGTAAGAACAACAGAATAATAAACCCTGTATCACAAAAGGACTGGGATATAAGATGATGACTCACACTTATATCAAGAGGTAAAAATGGTATTGTCACTTTGTTGCATCTATTATAGGCAAAAACAAAAACATCAAAAAGAAAAACAACTAGTAATCATGGTTGTATACCCCTTTAATTTCAATGTTCTATAGGCAAAAAACTGGCCAATCTATGTGTTCAGGGCCAGAAGTTTCTACATAGAGTTCCAAGTTTTCACATGTTATTTAGTAAGACACTGTCACAGATTATTTTGGTAATGGAGGGAAGAGGGTTAAGAGGAGACTGGTCTTACAGAGGGCACAAGTCCCAGCACCCAGGCCACATGACTTACAACTATCTATGTGTAATTTAAGAAGCAACTGCTCTGCTGACACTTTTTAGGAACCAAGTTAAAAAAATAGCATGGTACAGTGTCTTTTCTTAGCTTGAGCCATTGCATGAAGTAACTATTGTAGTCCTTGAGAGTGGAGAACATGAGGGTATATTCAGCTAGCACCTTCAATGACTGCTTCTTTCCCTCTGTTGTGGAATCTTTCTCCAATGGTTTCTTCTTCTGTGAAGGGAAACCATTCTCTGTTCCAACACATCGTTCCCAAAAGCCATGCTTGATGTAGTGCAGATTGAGCACTCGTAGTCTGCACTGCCTGTGGGTCAAACATGGAGGAGTTTCAGATGACATTTGTAATCTTACAGTTGTAATCTTACAGATCCTACATCTCAACCTCCCTGCACTACATTAACTTTGAACTCCACCCTTTCATACCATGCCAACACAGACTCACTCACCTGGGCCAAACAGTCTGGTTAATCAGCCAATCCATTCCATCCAGCACAGCCTGGAAGTTATCTGCTTCAACATAGTTTATCAGAGACCCAAGAGGGAGGCAAGGGAAGGGCCACGATATTACCATGGTCTTCACTATCTTTGTTTGTCGATTGATGAAGGCCTGCTCAAACAGTGGTGGGAAGAGCACGATGGGCAGGTCATCCAGAAGAGACAGGGTCAAATCTTCATCTTTCAACAGCCCTCTAATGGCCAACTGTTGGAGAGTGGGCACAGCCTGGGAGCTCATCCTGGTGGATTCAGGTAAGGGTATCTTATGGAAGTATCCAGAAAGACATCTTTTCAGAACAAAGTTTAGAATGGACTTTGCTCCTCCAATTATAAAAATCTCCTCAGGGTCAGAGTCACTGCCAAGAGTCACTGCCCAGATGATAGAAACTGGGTTTTGCCATTTGACTTTCTGTCTGATGCTCTCACAGCTACAGCTCCATCAGGCAGCATGGCAGACTGTGGATCAGCCATATGAAGTGTGCCTTACCATTATTCTACCCAATCCCAACCCCCAATGCATTGAGTCCCACTCTACTGGGGAGTGGGTAACCTGGAGGGAATGGATCTTCATCATTTTAAGGTTAACCATTACTCCATAAGACCCTCAAAGTGAAATGTTCTCTGTGAAATTCTCCCTCCCTCATTCTCTTTTCAACTCAAGGGGCCTGGCTGGGAACAATCTGTGAAATGGATGCAGTTACATTTCTTTTAAGAACCTGAGTCCTGGGGTAGGGAGGGAGGGCACATGCCTTTAATCCCAGCACTTGGGAGATAGGCAGGGGGATCTCAGTGACTTCTAGGACAGCCTGGTTTACAAAGAGAGTTCCAGGACATCCAGAAATGTTACACAGAAAAACCCTGTCTCAAAAATAAAATACAAACAAACAAAAACAAAACCTCAGTGTTTGGAGGGATAATGCAGGAGAATAGAATGTGACACTAACTTGGGACAAGGACAGTGTCCAACACAGGAACAGGAACTGACCTGAAACCAAAGCTTTTAAATAGCAATGGTGAAAGGTAAGCACATGTGTTAGAAGCAGCTGGAGAGCTGAGGGCTGTCCCCAAGAAGATCTGCATGCAGCCAATGTAGGGCAAGACACATGTGAGAAAGAAAACTTTTGTGTTAGCTTTAACTGCACTTCATTTCCCTTTGGGGGGAGCAGGCAGTTCAAGACAGGGTTTCTCTATGTAGCCCTGGCTGTCCTAGAACTCTCTGTAGACTAGGCAGGCCTGCCACACAGAGATCAATCTGCTTCTGTTATGATTAAAGGTTTGTGCAACTACTGCCTGGCTTCTTTTTGGTTTCTTAGTTGTGTGTTGTCACTATGAGACATTGTCTGGCCTGGAAGTTGCTGTGAAGACCAGGATGGTCTTCCACTAACTAACAAGATTTACCTACCTCTACTCTGATAGTGCTGGGATTCATAGCAAGTAACCTGACCCCAGGCTGCTATCTCATTTACATACAGGGTCTCCCTATGTACTCCAGGCTAGCCTAGAACTGAAGATCCTCACACCTCAGCTCAGCCAAAGTCTGAGGTGCCACTCCCTTCATAGCTTTTAATTTGACTTCTTACAATGTCTTGTGAGGTTCTGCTTATCAAAGATCCTAGCTGACATAACTTTTAAGCTACCAGGTTCATTTGCCAAAGTAGGTGAGACTAGTGGTCTGTTTTCCTATTCTCTTCCCAGTATTGTTCTTGAGGCCCATGTAAAAGGAAATGTTCACTTATACCAGGGGCTGAGAACATAATGCATTCACTCTGAGCCCTGGCTGTTCTTCTAGAGAAACTGGGTTCAATTCCCAATACCTACAAGGCAACTCACACCTATAGTGCAAGCCAACACAGTACTAAGATCCCTATATCTTGTATTCTTGCTGAGGTCATCTCAGGATTAAATAGAATTTTACCTCCTTGATGGAAAAAGACCCAGCACTATTATAGGAAGCCAATGTCAGGATATCCTATCTTATTTATCTTATCCTGTTTGTGCTACAACCCCCTCCATCTCACTGCTTAGCTTCTGTTAGACTCTATCCTTTTGAAGATCCACCCTCCTCCCTGCAACCAGTAGGTAAAATACCAGATGCAATAACCTGGTACTCAGGCTACATCTAGTTTCTGAAAAACTTTAGTGTGTTCGCAGCTGGCTCCTATAAAGCATTCAATTGACTGCAAACTGTGTCTGAGCAGTTATTTTAGGTGGGTTACCTGTAACAATATGTAACTCCAATTCCAAGGGACCTGACCCTGTCTTATATTTCTACACACATGTGTGGTGAACGGATATGTTTAGACAAATGATAAAATCATCAACAAAGAAAATCTCAATACCAGGCAGGTAGACACAGGTGGGTCTCTGACTTCAAAGCCAGTCTGATGCACAGAGTGAGTCCTGGATGGTCAGGGAAACTCAGAGAAACCCTGTGTCTAAAAAAAACCCAAGATCAACAACAAAACTCACTGAGGACTCTAATCCCAGGCTGGGGTCGGGGGTGCCTGCAGGGTTGAAACAGAGACTTTGAGATCAACCTGAGCTATTAGGGAATAAAAAGAGAAACCAAAGATCACCCAGACTTGGCAGTGAAGACCTAAGAGGATTTCTGTCAGTTCAATACCAGCCTAATCCAAGTGTCCAGGACAGCCAGGGCTACACAATGAGACCCCTTCAAAAACAAAGTTTTTAGGGTGTTGCTCCCTTTGAACTCCTCCCATTATGCTGTTCTCATGATTGTCCATTAATAAAGCCATGCTCACTTGGCATCTTAAAGAAATGAATATTTGCCAGGCAGTGGTGGCCCAACCTTTATTTAATCCTAGCACTCTGGAGACATAGGCAGGCAGGTCTCTGTGAGTTTGAGACCAGCCTGGCCTACAAGAGCTAGTTGCAGGACAAGCTCCAAAGCTACACAGAGAAACCCTGTCTCAAACACCACCACCCCCCAAACAAAGAGAAAGAAATCTTCTAAAGGCAGCTAGAGATGCAGCCAGGGAATGTGTGCTTACACAGCTCACTGAGGGCCTGACTCTGCTGTTATCAGCACCTGATAGACAAGCCACTTTGACTCACACCTCACATGCCAGCACTCAGGAGATGGAGGCAGGAGGATGGATCTCTGGGTCAAAGCCCTCTCAGCTAAATACAGATTCTAGGTTAGTCTGGTCTTCAGGAAACCCTGTTTCAAAACATCAAACCATGAATTCACCAATAAACAACACTTGAGATGAAGACAAACCTGCCCTTGGAACGAAAAACCAGCCTCCAATCTGCTCATCAGGAGAGAGATAAAAATGAGAAATCTGTGTCACCCACAGTTTAATGTTCCTAGTGGGGAGTGACTGGATTGAATGAGATGGATTGGGTGTCCTCAAATGGGTGAGGAACTTACCAGATGCAGGCACTGGTGACAGGTCTCCTAGTCCCAGCAGGGTCAACAGGTGATTCTAAGATCCCAAGTGTCTTCTTTGGCTCCTCTGAGGCTTTTACTCACCCATCCTTCACTTCTCCCGTTTACAGCCTTCTGCACCAATCACAGGCTGCCAAGTCATCATATTGCTTGACATTCCACTCATTTAATACTAATCAGGAATAGGTGTGTAGAGATTGGCTTAATTGATAACCCTCAGGACCCACTAATCAGAGGTTACAGAGAGAGAGACAAGAACCCATTCATGAACTCCCTGCAGAAGCGTTTCCTTCTTTTCTGCTTCATGAAACTTCTATTTTGAGTCAGGAACTTTATGTACCCCAGGTTGAACTAGAATGTTCTAAGAAGCCTATGATAGGCAGGAACATATAGCATGTCCTCTGTCTCTGTCTCACCAACGCTGGTGTTACAGGAGACAGCCTCAAAGCCCAGGTTATTTACAGGTATTTTTTGGTACAGGCTCTCATAATATAGTTGATGCTGGGACCCAAAACTAGAGAGCAATTTTGTCTGTAGAAGCGTGGGTTAGGATGTCCAAGGCTGGAAGCCTCTGAAGGTGGGAATTGTGGCACACAGGGCAGGGGAGACCAACCAACAGGGGGAGGGATGCTGTCAATGACTCCATGGTGATGACCATCTATAGCTTTTGACTTTTCACTATGTATTTTTCACTCATGGTGGTCTAGAAACCAGCCAGCACCCTGATCCTCTCATCTATAACAGAATCATCTAAGACCCACGGACATGTTACAAGTTTACAATCCCAGCTACTCAGGAGGTTGAAATAGGAGAGTGATAAATTCAGGGCCTGTACATAGTAACCTCATAACAAACCTTATCTTTTACAAAGACCCTGCCTCAAAAGACAGAAGTTGCTGGACAGAATGGCATACATCTTTAATCCCAGTCCCCTAGAGGCAGGGGGGTCCCTGTGAGGTAAAGATGAGCCTGGTCTGTGCTGGGTGGTAGTGGCCCATGTCTTTAATGTCATCACATGGGAGGCAGAGGCAGGTGGATTACTTGTCAGTTCACAGAGATAGATCCAGGACAGGCTCCAAAAGCTACACAGGGAAACCTTGTGTCAATAAAATAAAAGAGACTGGTCTAGGCTGTCAGTGCCAGTCATCCAGTGCTAGAGGTGGACACTTGTTGTAAAGTGAGGCGAGGCAGAATGGGGGGACACACCTTTAATTCCAGCTCTAGGATGCAGAGCCAGAGGCATCTCTAAATTGGAGGTCAGCCTGGTCTACAGAGAGAGTTCTAGGATATCCAGAGCTACACAGAGAAACCTTATCTAGAAAAACAAAAGCAACAGGAGGAAACAATCAAAAACCAAGACTATTTTTTCTGGTTTTTCCAAGACAGTGTTTCTCTGTAGCTTTGGAACCTGTCCTGGAACTTGCTCTGTAGACCAGCCTGGCCTCTAACCCAGAGAGATCTCCTTTGTCCTGCCTCCTCAGTACTGCTAGCAAAGGCATGCACCATAACCACCAGCAAATATTTTTGTTTGTTTATTTTGTTTTATAAGACAGGATTTTACTCTATAACAATCCTGGCTATCCTGAAACTTGCTGCATAGACCAGGCTGGCCTCCAACTCAGAGATCCATCTGACTCTGTCTGCCAAGGGCTGGGATTAAAGCCATGTGCAACCACACCCTGTCAACAACAAAAATTTAAATACCTAGAGAGCTAGGCCATCTTGAGCACACTCACCTGGACTATGATATATCATAGGTGAAAATGAAACTGCAAAAGGGAAAAGGAAAGCAAGGTTGGAGGCAAGGTCTACATAGTGAGTTCCAGGAGACCAAAGCTGGGTGTTGAAATCCTGCCCCCAATAAAGGAAAAGAAACAAAAAGGAAAGTAGGGTGACTTAAAAGTGCAAGTATTCCCAGTATTCCAGAGGCAAAGGCAGAAAGGTCTCTGTGTCTCAGGGGCAGCCAGCCTGCTCTCCATAGTCACCATATCCTGAGAAGCCAGAGCTACAGGATAGAGTCTCAAAAAATAAATGAACAATGACTGTATTATTTTTTCCTCTTTTCTGTCTGTCTGTCTGTCTACCTGCCTGCCTTCCTTCCTTCCTTTCTTTCTCTATTTCCTTTTTTCTTTATTTCTCTTTTTTATTGTTGTTTCTTGTTTTGTTTTTCTGATACTCCATTTCTCTATGTAGTACTGGTTGTCCTGGAACTCACTCTGTAGAGAAGGATGACCTCAACTCAGAGATCCAATCTGGCTGCCTCTTCCTCTGGAGCGCTGGCATTAAAGGCATGTGTCACCCTCTGGCTTTTTGTTTTGAGACAGTGTCTTTCTAAGTATCACTGGCTGTGCTAAAACTCATTCACTATGTAGACCAGAGTGTCCTTGAACTCACAGAGATCCCTCTGCCTTTCCCCCCAAGTGCTGGAATTAAAGCTATGCACCACCACACCCAGCAAAGAAGGCTGTCTTAATTTATATTAACTCATTCTAGAGAGACTGAGATAGAAGGATTGCATATTTGACTAAATTTAATCTAAATAGTAATGGCCAATCTGGGCTAGAGAGCAAGATTCTACCTGCAAACAAAACAAACCCCCAGAAAGCCTAGTATAGCTGGTGCTGTCCTCCTTTGATTCCAGGATTTTGGAAGTAGGAGAATTTCTGTGAGTCTGAGGACAGCAAGGTTCAGGCTAACCAGGGCTACTTAGTGTCACTGTGTCTCAAAGACAACAACAAGGCAAAAGAGAAAAACCAGCTTTTTGTCATGGTGAGGGCCACCTAGGACATCAGGAACCTGTTGTTCCTGTCATGGTGGGGTTATAACTGGAGTTATTCTACATGTAGGTTACATATTATACTGATTGGACTCCAGCCACATATACTGGTTCTAATGTATTTTGAGATCATGAGTTTGTGGCACCCATCTCCCTTAATCAGCAAGCACAATATCTTCTCATTCTCCACAGACACAAGATCACAACATCTTAACACTGGTGAGCAGGTTAATGTCCAAGACAGACCTCAGCAAGTGAGGATGAAGCTTCTCCGGAGCCCAGGGAAAAGTGTTTCCTAAAACTGTTGAGCCAGAAGACTCTTAGAAGATCAGAATTTTATTTGAATCTTAAGGATCCTATATCCATGTTTTCCATGTCTGTCTTGAACCACTAGGAAGGAACGAGATAATGTTTATGGGTTCCAAAGTCTTTAATAAGTCACCATATAAGAGGGGGACCATACAAGAGGGCTCATTGATCCATCTGGGCTGCAGGACAAGGACAGGAGCCTTCTTTCTCCTGCTAGCCCCCAAAAGTTGCATAAATGGGGTTCATAAACACAAAACCCACAACCATTTGTTGCCAAGTTACAGTTACATTTTTCACCAATCAGTACTCAGGGATTATGGGTTTTCCCCAGGTACTCTATCATTGTCACCTGTTCTTTTTCTGTGGGATTTGGGCTGCACCAAATTCTACTGATAATTTCAATACCATCAGACTATCTTTCTGTTTACCAGTAAAGATTCAGGAGCCAGGAGTTGGGTGAAAGCATGCTAGATCAAAGAAGCTGAGAGGCAAGCAACTGACCTCGGTGTTTGGGCCAAAGAACCAGCAAGAGAAGTATCAACCCACCCATCCCAAACTCAAAAGACCTTGAATCTTTAAGTCCCTCCCTACTCCTTCCTGTGAGTCTCTTCATCCACATTCCTAGCTTCTCTGTGACTAATTCTGGTGTAGTAGTTCCTGGCTCTGCCCCCTGATATAAGGTTACTTTTCTTAATACAGTCTCAGAGTTTCACAGTGTCACCAAATATCTCACAGCAACAGACAGCTGACACAAAATGTTCTACCAGTTAATTCATTCTTTTTGTTGTTAGGCACAGCCATATTATCTCAGAGAACTAAGGGGTATAGCAGACTGTTTCTATTGTTTAAGGAAGAACTTGGTCAGGAATTAAAAGGTTTCCAGGATCCCAAAGGTTTGGGAACATGAACTCTGTCCCATCCTACAGGTAAAATGGAAGTCTAAATGGCAACACCCAGTAAAAGGTGCATTTTCCTGCTCCCTTGACATGGAACCACTATTTTCCATATCTACTTTGACCCCTCCAATCTGGACGCCTTACATCATATCTCACTCTCAACACACAACTCATTGTTCTATGTCCTCTTGATGAGAAATCACTCTCTCAGATTTCATTTCTCAGTGCCCAGAAAAGCTTCCCCCCAGTCCCTGCCAAAAAAAGACAAAATCTGGTCTCAGGTCAGAAACCCAGAGATCATGACTTTCAGGGAACTTACAGATTTAAGTACATTCAATAATATAACCTTTACCTTTCATTTCATTTTTGGGGGGAGGGGTTCAAGACAGGGTTTCTCTGTGATTTTGGAGGCTGTCCTGGAACTAGCTTTTGAAGACCAGGCTCACATTTATTTCAATGCCTCCACCCATTTTATCCTTTTGGAAGAGATCTTTGAATTTGACTCTTTGTATAGTCTTTTCTTTTAACTAAGAGCAATAACAATTTGTAACCAACAACTCTTAAATGATAATAAACATTCATAACCAATCTTTTGGGAATTTGTACATCATTTACTAGACTATTCCCTGTTTTTGGTGGGTATTGTTGAGTTTGGGGAACCCTGATAAAATTCAAGATAATAATTACATCTTGTTTGGAGGCTGGACCTTCTCAGCCAGCCTCCTTGAAGCTGTTCTGGATGCAGAACTCAGAGGAAACTGCAACAGAGGCATTTTGAGATGCTAGATCACCTGGGCCATTTATATTCATTGGTGTCTGGTCCTCCTTGCTCTGAAAATATAGAAACATTTAAAGGCAACATACATA